TCCCAAACTCCCTGTTTTGGACCAAAGCTGATAGCAGTGATTGATTGTGTAGGTTGACTTTAACAGAACCAAATGGTCGTCCAGTGAACAGATGGGTTCAGCTCATCTGCCTCTGTACCCGCGGGAGGGGTGCAGGTAAGATGGGGTCATTTTTCAAGTCTGTAAAGAGCCCATTTGCATGAGGCTTCGGAGCAATGAGGATGAGCAGCCTGATTTATGGTGCGTGTGACCCTGCCGCCCGGTGCGGTGTCGGAGCCCGAGTGTTCCCTTGCTTCACATAGGCAGTGCTCTGAGTGAAGGTGGTTCCCCCAGCCCGCACTCACCCACCTTCTTCTGTGGCTTCCAGCCCTTCCTGGCACGGCTGTGTCCAGGGCATGTGCCTGTTCCCCGTCCCCGGGGGCAGGCGACACTTGTGATGCTCTATCGGGGTGGTGGCAGGTCTGATTTCTGGCTTCAGAAGCAGCTGGAAGGAGGAATTTTGAACATCTCCCGGTTGACATTTGATTTGTGAGAAGTAACCACTTTCCTTTCCCCTTCATCTCCCGAATTTGCGGCATTTCCTCACCGTGGTGTTCCTCCTGCCCCAAAGCACTGCCTCTCATGCCCCTTTTGGCTGCAGTGGGGCTTGTGGTGGGGAGGTTTTCTGGGAGCCAGCGAGCAGGGAGGTTGGGAGAAGGATGGAAGCAGCACGTCCATCAGGCACGGGGCAGGTTGTGCCGTCTAATCCCCCTGGCTGTCGTCGGCAGCGTTTGTCAGGGCCTCCGCCAGCCGGCTCCGTTTCCTCAGAGCTATCACTACCCTTCATCTGGGCTGGCAGCGCTTCAACAGCTGTTAATCCTCTTTGTATCTTTTAAGTGCTGTGACCACTGACAAGCTCCTATACTCTGAGGTGTCAAAGTATCTAAGATAGCTGTGGTGATCGTGGTTGGGTTTGTTGTTGTTTTGGTTTGGTTTTTTTTAAATCCAAATACCTTCTGATCTATTGACCCAGATTGAACCTGGTGGAGCAATCTTGTGTCCCGGTGTCAAGCTTTCACTGCTGCTCGATGTTCACAAAGGATTTTGCCTAAAATTTGATTACTTTCTAGTTCCCCGTGCTTGTGTTGCTTGATTTTTCCGTTTTACATGTTACCACAAGTAGTGCATGTTTCACTGAAGTTGTAAGGAATGTGGTTCTAAGTCAATGTGAGAATGAGCTGGCAGAGTTTTCTCTTTATGCTTCAATTACTTTCCCTCCTGAAATAACCCCAAGAACGGAGTCTTCTGCTCTATTGTTTGCTTGCTTTCTTTGCTATATGTTGTGGAAAGGGCCTGGGCAGTGTAGCGAGGTGTAGTAGTGAGTGTTGGGGTTTCTGTGCATGTTTGCAGCCGAGGAGGAATGCTGAATTAAAATTACTCTGAATTTAGCTCCAAGTTTTAAAATTGATTTCCTTCGGAAGAGGAATTTTTAGTCCAAGGGTGTTTTGGAAGGACTGGGGAGCAGGGATATAGCAGCAAATTTGTTGCAGAAAAACAGCAGGGTAAAGGAAAGTGGTTCTGTTGGTCTTTAGGCTCTAGTTATGTATTTTTATAACTCCTTGGTGTTTTTATTATTTGCTACGAACCATCATTTAATAGCAGGGGAAAATCTTTCAAACTAACATTTCTTTGTTTAGTTTGTTTGTCCTCTCTGGAGAGCGCTCTCCCCATATGACAAAGCTCTGATGTTCTGAAGTTGGCTCCCCTAAGGCTCAACTTTATTGAGAGAAGTGAAACATTTTAGGTGGTTCATTCATTCTTTCTGTGTCTCTTGTTATTTGAGCCCTTATGGTGTCCTTTGGTCATGTTTTTAAACTTATTTCTGCAACTAAGACTGCCAGGAGCTTTATTTAATAATAGTTGAGGTCTCATGTTCAACTTTTTCTTTGTGAGCTGCCATTTTATCTCAAGCATCAAATATTGTGAGAGTAAATTAAAAGCAGCGTTGATGTCTTGTAATTTTGCGTCGAATGTTCTCTCTTTTACTGTGCGACTGAATATCGTTTTATGAAGCTGAAGGACTATGGGCAGCTCAGACTTTGTTTCAAGTGCAAATACCACCCCTTGATCCTGGTGAATCGCCCTTGTGCGGGCGGCTCTGCTGAAGTCACAGGAAGGGCATAGGTGCTTCCTGGCTTGGTTCCTCATTTGCAACCTTATTATAAAGTCCTAGATTTTTGTAGGCCATTGGAACGTTATCACCTGCCGCGATGTGATGGGGTAAAACAACTGAAAATGAAGCAGATCTTGCATCTGAAGTCATACAGATGAGGATACTTGGAAAATTATTCTCTGTAAGTAGAAGCCCCAAATCAGAGAACCTGCCGTGACTGTGCCCATGCTGAAAGACCCATCTGTTGTTCATTTAGTCCATGTTTAGAACAAAAGTGAACATGACTTTCCCAGGGTAGGAGAAGGCCTAGAAGACAGGGAAAACCTGTTTAACAAGTCAGCTTGTTGGACGAACTGAGGCTAAAATGGTAAAACTCTGTTTTTCTTACTTGGGGAAGCATTTAAAGGTACTGATTCATAGCGTTGGAAATAGTGCTTCATTGGTTTTTAGGGTTTTTGAGGGGGAGGAGGGAAAAAAAGGCAAAGAGATCTGATCCAAAGGCAAGAGGCCCACATGCAAAGATGTTTCCTTTTCATTTGGAAAACTCAGCAGCTTTCATCTTCAGGTTGAAGGTCTTCCGTGCTCCTCCTTGATCTTCACATCATGCCATGTGCTTTGTGGTTTTTTTGAGGCCAGGTCTCTCCTCCTTTCCCTCACTGAGATTCTTGCCTCTGTTCAGGTTCTCACTTGCCTGCTTTTCATCAGCGTTAGGATCCAGAGCTAGTCCTTGCTGGTTTCTTTCCCAGGTATTTTTGTCCATGTTTGTGGTTGATGTTGTTGAAGATGGGGCTGACCATTGTACTGGGCAGTTGAATCCTCTCACTAATAAACTAGGCGAGGTTGTGCCACAACCACTTTAATCGATGGAGCAACCAGCAAATGAATCTGTTGGCTATTTCTCCTTTCTTTAGGTGGGTTAAATGCCAACCTCATGCTGCGTCTCACGTACAACATATTTGTTCCTGTTTTCCTCTCCCGCTGCTGTTTCACTGCAGAGTGCTGCAGGCTAATAGTATCTGACGGGGCTACTTCCTATTGCCTGAAAAATGTTTAATTTTACTACCTCGCTTTCTCTCTTTCCCACTTTCTCTCATTTTGATCTCTCAAATCCAGTCCCTTTGAGAAATCAGACGGTATGAAATATGAAAATTGCTTGGGTAGTAATTGGAGAAACGGTGAGACTTATGAAGCCCATGGAGATAACGCTTACATCTACTTATTCACATTATTTAATTTTTAATGGCAAATTTAATTAATGAAGCACAGGTCTTGTGGTTTCATGTGTGAATAAGTAACAGCAGGGAGCTGAAAGTCATGAGGTCTGTTTACAGGACAGAGAAAAAGGCTCCATTAAAAGCTGAACTTTTCATTATAGGAAGGAGAAAAATGGGTTTAATAGCAGAGAAGTTTGACCATTATGTAACAAGTAAGTAAATGAAAACATTAATGACAATTTGCTGGCAAAATGCATTTTGAAGTGGTTACTCATCCATGATTTCTCAGTTTAAGTCTGTCTCCTGGGTCAAAGTTTGGAAAAGCAAAGTCTGTTCTGTGGGTTTTTTTGGTATGTGACATAAATTCAGGCACCGGAGATAAAGCGCTTAAATATAGCACCTTGAAGCCTGGGCTCTGAAAACCTGTATAAGCCTTCCAATTAGCTCAGCTTCACACAACTTCAGTGATACAGACAGCTGTTATCCCTCACTTGCAGATGGAAAATGGTGACTTGCCCAAGATTGCACAAGTGGCAGAACCACTAATAGAACTTGAGTTATATCTGTCCTTTCCTTTTTCTAACCACTGAACAATATGTGTCGTCTCATCATGCGCAGGACCACAGCTGCATTTATGGGAAAATAAATGAAGAAGGGCAAGAATAGTATTCTACATAAAATGACCAAATTTGGGGAGAGATGAGATAGCAACTAGACCCAGCCCTAAATGAATAGCTGTCCTCGCTTTCAATACCGTTTTGTCACTTTTTTGATTGATTATTGCATATTTTCTGCCTGCGCCTTTTCAGACTAATGACCTTGCAGATGAGCTTTGAGTGAGGCAATTGCAGCTATTTCAGGGTAAAGTCCAGAGGCTTTGCCTAATGCAAGCTGTATCAGCAGTTCAGTGACACGGGACCTCGCAGTGGAGTCCCTGGGGGTGCACAGCCCTTCCCTTCTGCTGTTTGTGCTTGGGAGGTTTGGAAGTGCAGCCGAGAGGAGGAATCCGGTCTCCATGCTCAGCGCCTGAGCAGTTGGGAACTCAAACTCTTTCTGTGCAGGCTCGGGAGAATTTAATGCAAACCTCTTAAGCCCTGCAGCAAGACACTCCAGACTCTGTTTGGCAGTGCCTTAACTGATACCTGATACGCCTCCCTATGTTGTTAAAAGGGAAACAGGCTGCATAATTTTCTTTTAAAGAATAAGTAACATAAGTAGAAGCACTGAAATGTAAAATGGATTTTCCAGTGCTAGCAGCCAATTTTGATACTTGCACGTCAGTAACTTACAAGATCCTTCACAGCAATTAATGAAAAAAGAGAACAGAACACGACCGAACTCAGAATAAGTTGGTACTGGAAACACCTTGTTTTTGTGGTTACATGGAATAATCAAAGCTGACGGTGGGTTGTTAGCGACCTTTTCCCCCTCTATCCCTTCACAAAGGTGAAGCGTGGAATGGAGGACATGTTGTAGCCTTGATGCATTTTGCTGAAAATAAAATCAACTTTTAAGCATTTTTTTTTGTGTTCTTTGAACTGAATATGCTGTTTGTTGTTGGAAATCGCTATTAATTATAGAAGATAACTTTGTGATGGGGTAAGATCTGAGGCGCCTTTAATTTTTAGAGCTGAGCATTCTTTTCTTTGTTTCAGAACGCAGAGATCTACAAGCTGACATCTGAGCAGTACCAGGAGGCAGCCACCAAAGCAGAGGAGTGGATAAAGTGAGGAACCATTTTTGTTCTTTTCAGCAATTCCAGTTGCATTTCATAATGTTCTGTGTGTAGCCTCTGGATATTCCCCTAAACAGAGGGTGAAGTTACCTCCTGTCAGGTATTTAGGGGGCTGAGGAGCTGTGAGCTTGCATCCTCTCTTTCTGTGCCAAGCTTGACAGAATTTGGTATTAAGTTGTTAGATCCTGCCAGGGAGAATGAGGAAGAAGACACGTAAGAGGAAGAAGACATGTAAGAGAAAGATAAACAGCCTAAATCGCAGCCATGTAAATTTCAATCAAAATAGAGTTATAATTATCATGAATATTTCCTTAGAATGGGTGCAGTGATTTCTCTGACCTTTTTTATTGGCCTTGGCACAATTTAATATTGTCTTTTTACCGTGAGCATGTTTAGTGTCTAAATTCCATTTGTATTTGCCGGTAGTGTTATATAGATTATTGTTCCACATGCACTAACAGCTGTCCAAGAAAAAATATTTTCTATAATTCTTTAATATTAATGAGTCCAAAGCAATTACACTGTCGAGAGCAGCACTCGTATCTCAGTTGGGTAAACAGTTGGCCAACATGCAGTAAACTGGAGTAGCAACATATGTAGTCCAGTTGGGTCCAGTCCAGACTGTATGATACTTAATTGCATAAATAGATAATATAGTAGTCATGAATATGTTAGTGGGGTGTGCAGTATATTGTGCTGTCTTTATTTAAAATCATGTTTGGCTGCCAAAGCATCACATAACCTGTTGTAATTTCACATTTTTGTTTGGACAGTCAAGCAAGAAGTTGCTAAAGAAGCCAAAACAAGGAAGCTAACACATTGCGTGCATGTTCATGCAGTTTTATGTAGTAGAAACCTAAATTCTGTTTTTAAATAAAATTTTAAAAATTCATAGGACATAAAGTTCTGACAGTCTTTGATCAGCTGAATCTTTTCTTGGATTTGTTTCTGCAGATGTGCTATCAGTTGTTGGGAACACATATAGCAATGATTTATCCTTGTGACTTTGTAAAGGAAGAGATTGGGACCTTGGGTGATGTTCTTTACTTGCTATTGCAGACCATAACTAACCTATTTTTTTTATAGCAGTCTTAAGTTTGTTTTCTGAGGTTTCGGTTTCATTTGGTCTCTTCTCTTTCTTGTGGAGATGAAGACTGGTATTGTAGGAAACTCTGGTAACGCAACTATTTCTCATAAAGGTTACTGACTGAGACCAACACAAAAGCTAATGACTTCTTTCCTTCAAGATTGAGAAAATGTGTTTATGTTCCTTCCCCTTTTCTTTGAGCCCTCATTATCTGCCGGTCCCTGGCTTCTGGCGTTATTGTGCAATGCCCTTCTATTTGAAGGCCACATGAACTTGAGCCATCATGAAGGGACAGATGCCTTAAGCTGTCTTCCTTGCAGCCAAAAGAGACACCTGTCCTAAAGTGAATTTTGTGTGACAAGACAACGTGGCTGGGGGATGCCTTGAGAAGGGACAAGCTATGTGGCCCTAGTGGAAGTTGGGGAGAAGGTGAACAACACACTTTCTATTTCCTTACAGTAGGAATACCCATCAATAGCCAGCATGGCATCGAGCTGTGTGTTGGAGTGCACGAGCTGGGATTGATAGTGCCCTTTGATAATTGTACATGTGGGAAGAATCATTGCTTTGCCCCATCAGCCTGCAGCGCAGGCGTCTCTTACAGCAGTATGCAGTGATCCCTCTTGGGATTGTTGTCCGGTGTACAACGTGCTGTACAAACACTCTTAAGAGTGCACAGGCCTCATGTGTGGGTCATGATGAGGCTGGGGCCAGGGTCAGGGAAATCTCCTTCGTGCATTGGCATTCATGTTTAATTGGTAGGACTTGAAGTTTGGTGTTGTGAGGTCCCCTTGCTAGGTGTCGGACATTCAAGTCTTGCTACAGCCTGTTTATGGTAATAAATTGCAAGATCCTGTGACTTCAGTGGAAAGAATAGTTTGCTTGTCCTGTTCTGCACTTTCATGTTAGACATACAAGCACAGTAAGTGCTAAGTCAGGTAAGACTGATTTATGCAGATCTAGTAACTTGGTTAACAGGAATAAACTGACGCTCCAGCAGAATTACATGAACTGGAATATAGCCAAAGTAGGAATGAAGCGCGGGTCTGCCTGTTTCCAGGGCTGGACTATGACAGCTCCTGTAACAAAGGGAAACCAGGAGTGGCATTTTCTCCATCTGCAGAGGAGAGGGCATCTCCTTCCCGTAGTGGCTCTTCCCGAGCTTCTGTTATCCCTGTTCCACTGTGGACTCTTGGACTGGCCCTTGGCCCTTGCCTTGTGAGACCAATCTATCGTGTATTTGTTGTCTTCAGCCACTGTGTATCAGCACAGCTGGTGGAGGACGAGGGATTGGAGCTGGGGCTGTTTCCACAGTGAGTGCCCTGTTTTTCGGGGTGCGTGTTGAAGCAAAGATAAGAAGTATCTGAAACAAAAAAAACCCAGTGTTTTCTTGGCATTTATTGACTTTTATAATTCCGTTATCAACACCTACAGCTCTGCACAAGTGATCAAGTGTTCCATGGACTATTTCCTCTCCTTAGTGATTATCAAGTGTTGCAGGATTTAGGAATATTGTATAAGCTTTCCACCAGTGACTCTTCACAGCATGCCTATGAGGTAGGCAGGGAAACCTTCCTATCTCCCTTTGTATAGAAACAGAAGTAAAGTACTTAATGCTGAGCTTCGTATTAAATCACCGACACAGTCATTGGCTCTTGGTTTCTACTTCAAGGTAGGATGATAGGCTTGACGCCTGCATGGCCTGATTTGTGCAGTGGACTTTGTTCCTCATTTCTTCACCTGAACCCAGCTTGCTTCTGTCTCTGCATTCCTGCTGCCACAGTGTCTCCTTCTTCTTTGTTCTGGGCTCCATCCAACCTGTCTCTTTCTCCCAGGAAGAAGATCCTAGCAACAAGAAACCACTGAGCACAGCTTTCAGCACCTTAAGCAACTTGCCCTTGTTGCTTACATGCCGTGGTGAATTGGACAGTTGCCACGGACATATTGTCTCAGTGATGTTATTATAATTGGCGCTTTATTATTTTTCTCTTTTGTTAACCAGCAGAATTAAAGTCTGGGGACCTAGAACTTTTTTTCCCCCTTCCTTCCCTGTTTAGCAAACTGTGCACATCAGTAACTACCCACAAAGGAAGCAGCGTGTAAATAAAAAGCCAGTGCTCCCCGCCCTTCACTTCGTTCCACATCCTTTTCTCAGTGTTCATAGAGCCATGACTCAGACTGGGTTTAGAGAAGACAACTTGCTAATCCCCTCCCCGCTACAGAGAATAAAATGGCATTTCATTCCAAGCTCTATTAATGCGCTCGCTCCGGGGATAAAGCAGCACTCCCAAAAGGCAGTGGCCAAATTTTTTTTCTGTTGCGTTGTCTTTGTCTTCTTTTGAGTGTTACATTTAGATTAGCTTCTGAGGATTAAATGTTATTACAGTCCCTGAATCTGTTAAGGGGAAGGAAAAAAACATCAGTAAAGAGGTTATGGCTTAGTGCAGACACTCCAGATTTATCCTCAAAATGCTGTTTTTTTAAAAAAAATTTGATTTATTTTCTTTTGTGAAGGTTGTCTTATCACGTTTTTATTTTATTTTTGTAGTGGTTAAATTTGGATGCAAGAATTGGTATGGGTGGGGGTGTGCCTCTCTCTAAAAGGTAAAGCTGCAGGAGTGGGGTGAGGGGATTAGGAAGCTGTTAAAAGATAAAATTGTTCTGAAGCTGAGTTTCCCTCTGAGATCTCCTTATAGTTTGCAGAACTGTTTCTGAAGCTGCTTACTGATGGCTGTGTTGCTTGGCGTGTTGCGCTGAGAGGGCTGCATCTGCTTTGTGCTGTTATCAAGGAGGGCATAAAGAACGTTGGTATCTTATCCTGATAGAGATCAGCCTTGAATCCAAGGCAGCTTTCCAATGGAGAAACTGCCAAAGAGATTTACTCCATGTGGGACTTAGTATCTAAGAGTTCCATTTAATGGTCCTAAGATCTTTAAACTTAATGGACATGAGTATTTAAGGTGATTACGTTAGAGAAACTGGCAAGTATTAAGTATCCTCCTGGGCTGAAGGTGGAGTAGAGAACCACACTGACTCAGAAGGGGTAGGGGGAGAAAGTTCAGCGACGGACTGTCTGCTGGGAACCCGGAATTTATGGCTTGCTTTCAGTACTCATGGAAATGAAAGTTTCTTTGAATACCACAAGATTTTATGAGGCTGATGGCCCCTCAGTTAAAATGGCAGCACGAACTGGAACCTAGAGGAGCTGCCTTTTTTTGTTTTCTTCTTTTTTTTTTTATTGTTCTTGTTTGTGTAGATCTGGAAAGTTTATAAGATAGTTATGTGGTAATACTTGATGTTAATCATGAAATCGACTACGAGGCCTTGGGTATTTCAACAGAGGGCTGTGCCCAGGAGTCAAGATCTGAAATAGTTATTATATGGACAGTCATGAAGCCCAAGGAGAAGAGGGTAAAGACATCATAGTTTTCAAACAAAATTGCTCTGGGATTTCTCCTATCATTAGATTAGATAAATGATTAATTCAGTGTTGAAATTAAGAGCCTCTGCAATTGGGATTTAAGAGTTTTCAGGAATAAAAGACTGATTACTGCTGGGAGCTCATCCCCAGCCTTATCTCAATATAGTGCTTTTGTACCCTGCAGTGATGATACCTTTACCAAAAAAAATGGTTTGGCTCCATCCCAGTCCTGTTCTCCCCTCAGTGCTTGGTTTGTGTTAGGTGTTCCTACTTCTGTCTGCTCTGACTCTGTTTCATGTAATCTTTAAATAAAGAGATTAGTCAAAGCTTTGCTGTTTTTCACTTTTGTAAAGTTGCTCTTAGTAGGAAATTGGAATATTGCTATTAAGAGACTATAAGTCATGAGTTTCCCCAAATTTATTTCAAAAGAGGATAAAAGAGTAGATGGGTCATTTTTGACTTTGTGTCATTTTGCATGGTATG